GCGAGTACACCCTGTGCTGGCCGCTGAGCGCCGTGCACGACAGAGACGAGACGGGGTTGCTCTTCGCACGCAAGTCGGTGATCGGTGAGATCGGGTACCGTAACAGAAGCAAGGCAGAGGCCCCCGCAGCAGCGGGGGCCTCCGCCAGCCCATCATCGCAGCCGACGTACTGGCACCACAGCCAGAACGGAGGCCCTGGGATGCCTTACTCTTGCTACTACCCGAAAAAAGACGCCCGCGAGCACCTTCAGGATTTACTGACTCAGTCAGAGGAATGCCAACGCAAGATCCAAGAGAAGGAGGGTGAGAAACTGAGGCGCGCCGAGGCTGAGGCTAGAGGGGACCACCGCTTCTCTAGTAATCGCGAGGTGACCCTCTTCCGCGCGTTGCAGAAGACGTTCCCGCCAGAGACCGTGGAGGTGGAGGGGCGCTGGCACGGCGGCGCCCACTACCCTCTCCTGTTCAAAATGCGCATGGCCAGCGTGCGTTCGCAGGGGAGGAAGCAGGAGAGAGCCAAAGAGAAGAAGGACAGGCGCGCCCAGAAACAGCTGGCAGCTGCGCTCAGGGCGCCGCTGCCGCCCGAGCAGCACGGGCCCGAGCGCCAGGCACCAGAGCAGCACAGCGAGAGGGGCGAGCAAGACGAGCGCGCCCAACAGGCGTGGCGCCCGCCAAGATGGGCAGACGAAAACGCGGACGACGGCCGCGACAGGCCCGCGGCTGGCGATGGAAGGTCGCGGCGGGGGGTCGAAAGGGGGGGGGGGGGGGAGAGGGAGGGTGGAGCACGGGGAGGGCAGGAGGGAGGAGATGGAATGAGGACTAGGCTGAGCAGGACGAGGGATGACATAAGGAAATGAGTGTCGGGAAGGGGCGGGAGTTGACAGGGGGGGATAATTACAGAAATAGTTACTTATCACCCCCAAGGTGGCAGCCGACCCCGCAGTGCCCATCTCCAGGGCCTGCGCCGCTGGAGCAGCGAGGGCAGCGCGGCGCCGCCAGCTACATCTCGGACGCGATCGCTGCCCTCGGCCACGAGCCGCCAGAGCCCCCGCAGCAGCGGAGGCCACAAACGCCACGGCAGCAACCAACAGACGGGGAGTGGCGCAGGGATGAGCGGTGGCGCACCAAGGAGGGCGAGGAGCGCGAGTGGCAACAGCCGAGCGGCGAGGCTTCCTCGCTGCAGGACCGCATGGTCGACTCCGCCTGGCGCGACATGCAAGTTGCATTCGGCAGCGACCAACGCCCCAGTGACTGGTGGAGCAGCCACAGTGGGTGGAGTAGCGGCCAGGGGCGCTGGGAGGTCGCGACTTGGAGGTGGGTCGAACACCCCCCCGAAACCAATCCCTGGGAAAAACTTAGCTGAACCATCGCGCAGGAGCCGCCCCTCCGCAGCAGCGGAGGGAAACCTCATCGGCCGAACGTCGACCCTCCGCAGCAGCGGAGGCCTTGCCAATGCATCGTGAGCGGCGGCGACTCGCGCGCGCCGTCGTGCTCGGCGACCGCTGCCCGAGCGGAGAAGGAAAAAGAATCGGTGCTTTCATCGGTGCTGTCGTTGCCTCCTCTCCTTCATCGTTTTCTTCTCCCTCCCCCTCCAATCCCCCATCCCGCTATCACATTTTATCGTCTCCAATCGTATCGGGGGCTCCCGTGGCAGAAGAGCACCCAGAACGAGGTCCTCCGTGACAGAGGGGGGGGCATCTTAGACCCCCTCTGTGACAGAGGGGGGGCATATTTGACCCCCTCTGTGACAGAGGGGGGGCATATTTGACCCCCTCTGTGACAGAGGGGGGGCCAAAAAACAAATGATCACTTGAGTGCGGCTTCTGGATTATACACATGGCACTGTAAAGGTATGGGGTGTTTGCACGTTTTCGGGCAAGCCGCGCCCGGTTCTCCCTGGTAAGTCCAAGGCCGGCCTCCTTACTCATCTTAAAGCTTCCTACCCCCCGCGCCTGTGCTCCGTGCTCGCTCGAGAACCTTATCACAGCTATTTGCCTCTGCGGGCGAGCCGCCTGTGGAATTTGATGCGGTAATCCAGTACATTGCTTGAAGACGGGGTGTATTTATCAGGATGGGTTGTGTGGGACAAACTGCTGACGTGTTGTCTTCGCCTCAGCATTTTTCTGAAAAATAAGAATGAACATAGCAGTGCACGGTATTGTTCATTGCATGCGTCCGCTTCACTCGCTCTGTAGCCGTCGCTTCTGCCCTCGCCAGCCCAAAGCTTATTTAATTGTTACGTTCTCTGCGGGTTGTGTAGGACAAACTGCCCACATGGCATGTTGTCTTCGCCTCCTCTGGAACATAAGAATGAACATAGCTATTTAGGTTCAAGGTGGATCTGACTGCAGCGCGCAAGCGCTCATCATAGTTGCCCATCACCATGCGGACCCCGCGACCAGACCCCTGGGGCCCGAGGCTGCCCACTTTTCCCAAACTCCCCCCTCCCCCCGCGGTGCCCACTGTGTCCCTCGGGGTCCTTCGGGGGGCTTTCGGAGGGCCCGAAGGCGCTCCCCAGACGGTCCTGGAGGCTTCCGAGACGGTCCAAGAGTTGTTTCAAAAACGCCAATCAGATGGATTTTTTTTTTTTTTTTTTTTTTTTTTTTTTTTTTGTTTTTTTTATTGTTTTGTTTTTTTTTTTTTTTCTCAATTTTTTTCAAGACGGCCGAGTGGCCCCCAAGCCTTGAAGAGGGCTTCAAGAGGAACACTTATGAGGGCGCAAAGGAACACACATGCCCTAATTCCTTTGAGGAAGCGGTTCTATTTTTGGGGGCTTCAGGCGCCTTTGTATTCTTCAGCGTCCACGACGGCCTCAGAGTACCCCAAGAGCGCCGCAAGACATCCCAACAGGGCCTCCAAGACGGCCCAAGAAGCTCCCAGGATCGCCCCAAGACGTCCCACAGAGCCCTCCAAGACGACTTCCGTAGGCGCCTGTGGATCCCAGAGCGCTCTGAGAACAGTCCAGAGGCCACAAGGACACCTCACTTCTGCACCCCTCCCCGGCTCCTCCCTGATTCTCCCCATCCCTCCCGCTCAGGCAAGTGTGGCGCGAGGCGGTTGTATCTCTGGCCGCGAGATCCTGCCAGTGTATACCTACATGTACGACCACCCTTCGGGTGATAAAGAGGTTGTGCGTGTGGTGGTGGGGGTGAGGAAGGGGAACCAACTGGAGCTACAACATAGCATTGCATCGCACAGCAGAGCATAACATAGCATCGCATAGCATCGCACAACACAGCATAGACGAGCATCGCGTAGCATAGCATAGCATCGCATAGCATGTCATAGCATCGCATCGCATCGCGTCGCATATACTAGCAGACCATCGCATGGCACAGTATGGCGTAGCATAGCATCGCATCGCACAGCATAGTATCGCATCGCATCACACCGCATAGCTTAGCCTCGCATTGATAACATAGCGTACTATGCGGGCCGAACCGTACAATGGCCGAAAGTCCGTCCAAACGGCGCCCTCGCCTCGGCGCGGGCAGCACACCGCCAGCGTCACCTGCACGCCGTGGCCAGCTTAAGTTTAAGAGCGAATCGTGAGGATGTCTCAGCAGAAACTGGCTTTCTTGGTTCAGATGGGCGGGCTGGACGACATGGGCGAATCAAACGCACGTTCGGGCCTGCGGCGGCCGCCCGGGACGGTCAGGGCACCCACAAGGCGCGCGCTCGGCGTCGAAGGCTCGGGGGGCGGCTGCGGGAGAGCAGCACTGTGGCGAGGAGCCTCCCCACGAGAGATGCCTGGCAGAGTGGGCAGTTTGTTGCCGCCAGTTAGTTTCCGTCGAACGCGTGCGGAGCAAGGGTGACGTCGGTTGATAAGGATCATTGTGAAGGCAGTTGCAACGTCTCGTGGATATGTTGCCGGCGTTTATTTCCGGTTTTTGCGTTCGTTGAAGTCTTGTTATCCGTGGCGCGCCTCCGTCTACTCAACTCCCAGGTTGTAGTTTCGTTTTTTTTATTTCCTCTTTGTCTTTTTTTTTTTTTTGATTTTCTTTTTCCTCCTCCTCCTCCTCCCTCCTTTTCCATATCACGATCAGAATTATCGCGATGTGACAGGCCTCGCACTTGGGCAACACAAGGGGGTGCCGCCAGGGGATAATTAGGACACTTACCGGTTCGTGCCCAGATTGTGGGGATGTCTCCAGCGGTTCGATTGTTTCACGGATGTAGGCGCGTCTTTTTCAGGGCCGCGTGGTGTTCGCGATGTCGCAACAAACGTTGTTGGGCGCCACAATGGGGAGCGACCACGGGGTGGGACATTTGCCCACTTGCGGTCAGCATTCGGGGATATCTCACGCGAGACGTCGGCTTTTTGAGGTGGGTGTACTTTTTTTCAGGGCCGCCACGAAGGAAGCGAATACTCGGATCAGTCCCGGCAGTCGCCGCGGTACTGGGAAGACCGTCGGATCGATCATTTCGTTGTCGATTTTTTTTGGCGCGTACCGTTCAAACATTCAGGGTGGCCCAGCGTTGGCAAATTTTGCGCGGTGGTTGCACGACGAAGGTGGGCGCACCATAGAACCCTTCACGACAGCCCATCGTTGTAAAGATTTTCGTCGCGGGGCCTTGGACGCTCTGGGTCGTCTAGGCCATGGATAGGCGTAGAGTGCGTGAGGGGTGTGCCGAAATCGGGCCCATTGAGCCGTCTTGAGAGGTACGTAGCTGTTTCTTATGTCTTGTTTCGCCGATCGGCGCGGGCCCCCGCTCCCTCCTCCCCAAAGACCAGATCTTGCAGTCGTGGGTCTCTCTGTGGGCGCTCTGGGGCCGTCCTGGAGGCCCCTGGGGCTCGGACTATGGTATTGTGGATGGGGGTAGGGCTCGACGCCGCCAGGTTTTTTTTCTTTTTTTTTGTACAACCTTTTTTTTTCGTTTTTTTTTTTTATTTTTTTTATTTTTTCTCTTGTTTTTTTTCTATTTTTTTTTTCTTTTCTGTTATTTCTTTTTTGTTTTTTTCTTGTTTCTTTTTTATTTTTCTTTTTTTTGTTTTCTGTCAGGATGGACGCGGCGTCGCGCTGCGCGCGTGCCGCGATGATCTCGGCCTGGGCCTCCTGGTTCGCCTCTGCGCGGGCGGCCATGGCGCACAGCATCCGCAGCGTTCCCAGGCGCCCCCAAGCGCTCCCGGCCGCTCCCAGCCGCTTCCCAGGCGCTTCCAAGCGCTCTGAAGCGGTCCGAAGCGTTCCCACGCGCTCCCCGGCGCTCCCAAGCGCTCCCCGTCTTGCGGGCCTTTTGGGAGCCTCTTGGGTCGTCCTGGGGCGACCTTGGGGGCCTATGTGGCAGTCTTGGAGCGTCGAACACTCGAAAAGGCGACAACGCCAAAATTGTTGACAAACCGCAGCTTTTCCCGCTTGGAGGTCCTCTTGGAGCCTTCTTGGGGCGTATTGGGGGCCTTTTAGGCACTCTGGAGGACGTCTTGGGGCCATCTTGGCTGTCTAGGAGGCGTCTTGGAACCGTCTTGGAGGCCATCTTGAGCCATACAAGCTGTGTTGGAGGCATCTTGGAGGCCATCTTCGCCAGCCTTGAAGGCGATTTGGGCAACGAGAGACGTTTTCCTCGTGGCTTTCAGGGTGGCTGGCGCGATCGATTGAGATCCCATTAGGATTCCAGAAGAACCAAGACAACCTACAGCAGAGACCCATGCCAAGACACACCCTGCTTGCCTCCAGGGTGCCCTGGGTTTCTTGGGTTTCGATGGTTTTGCAAATGAAAAGCGTGACGCTCCCACGCCAAAAATCCGTGGACCTCCTGGGGTCTCAGGGTTGGGCTTCGTGTGGAAGGTTTCTTGTGGACTGGCCTCCGCTGTAATTTTTGGCACGCCGTGTACCCCTGTGGCCAGCCTCGGGGGGCGGCGCAGCGAACACGCCTGCAGCGAGTCACCGCCGCCGCCTACCCTTTGGAAGCGCCGATGTGTCCAAACGTTGCGGCCAGAGCTCGGCCGAGCTATCGGACTACGTGTTCCCCCAGCCGTTGCGGAACCCTGTCGGGGAACTCGCGGGGAGAAAGAGAACAACAAGGAAGAGGATGATGATGAGGATGATGATGAGGAGGAGGAGGAGGAGGAGGAGGAGGAGGAGGAGGGGGAGGGGAGAGGGGAGGCGAGGGGGAGGGAGGGACAGGGAGGGAGAGGAGGAGGAGCAGAAGCAGGAGGAGGAGGAGGGAGGAGGATGTGGAGGAGGAGGAGGAAGGAGGAGAGGAGGAGGAGGAGGAGGAGGAGGAGGAGGAGGAGGCGGAGGAGGAGGAGAGGGATGAGGGAGGAGGAGGAGGAGGAGGCGGAGGGAAGTAGGAGGAGGAGGAGGAGGAGGGAAGGAGGAGGACGAGGGAGGAATGTGAGAGGGAGGGAGGGCGGGAGGGCGGGAGGGAGGGAGGGAGGAGGGAGGGAAGGGAGGGAGGGAGGGGGAGGGAGGGAGGGAGGGGATGGGAGGGAGGGAGGAGGAGGAGGAGGAGGAGGAGGAGGAGGAGGGAGGAGGAGGAGGCGGAGGAGGAGGAGGAGGAGGGAGGAGGAGGTGGAGAAGGTGGAGGGAGGAGGAGGAGGTGGAGGAGGGGTGAGGAGAGGAGAGGGAGGAGGAAGAGGAGGGGAGGAGGAGGAGGAGGCAGGAGAGGAGAGGAGGAGGAGGAGGAGGAGGAGGAGGAGGAGGAGGAGGAGGGGGCGGAAGAGGAGGAGGAGGGAGGAGGAGGAGGAGGGGGAGGAGTGAGGAGGAGGAGGAGGACAGGGAGGAGGAGGAGGACAGGGAGGAGGAGGCAGGGAGGAGGAGGAGGAGGAAAGGAGGAGGAGGGAGGAGGAGGAAGGAGGAGGAGGAGGAGGAGGAGGCGAGGGAGGAGGAAGGAGAGGGGGAGGTGGAGAGGAGGAGGAGAGGAGGAGGAGGAGGAGGAGCCTAAAGTCCAGCACGCCGGCAGTGGACCCCCGTGGCAAGCACGCAGGGGGCGGCGGACGTAGTGGCATCCAGCCCCGCCCGCCACCGTGACTGTGTCATGGTGGAGGGTTTCTCCGAAGGGCTAAGGCGACCCGTCCTCCTTCTCCTCCTTATCCCACCCCTCCTCATCCTTCCCTTGCTCCTCCTACCTCCTCCTCCTCCTCCTCCTCCTCTCCTCCTCCTCCTCCTCCTCCCCCTTCTCCTCCTCCTCCTCCTCCTCCTCCTCCTCCTCCTCCTGCTCCTCCTCCTCTTCTTCGGGAATGCACCGCGGGCTCCGCTAATCCGGCACGGCGAACGGGCCGGCGCCCGCCGCGCGGCCGGCCGCGCCCGGGCGCACCCCGCCGCGCCGCTCAGGGCGCCGGCGGCCCGAGCGGGCCCAGGGACGGCCGTCACCTACCACCCCCTCCCACGCCCCCCGCGGGCTCGGCCTCGCGGGGGCCAACAGCCAGGGAGGGAGTCGGTCGGTTCCTAGGCACCCCGGGCCCGCCCCGGCGCGGGCGGGCCCCCCGCAAGCGGGCAGCACAGGGATGGCAGGGCCAGCTCCCCCGCCACGTTCTGTCGGACGGACAACACCCCAGCCGGAAACACCCGGCCCCCGACAGAACGGACAGGGGCCAGGCCCCACCAAACCCCCACCACCCACCCCAGAGGCCCGCCACGACACGACAGACGACGACAGCGACGGCGACGACACGACGGGGAAGACGGACCCCCAGCCACGACTCCCACGGGGGACACCTGGCTGGGTAGCCAGGCTCCCGTGGGAGGCTGCGTGGCCGGGGGCCCCCCGGGAAGGGGACCCCGCTTTGGGGGCCATCCCGGGCGCGGGGACTCTTCCCCCGAAGGCCCGGCGGTCCCCGCCTCCGCCAGGGGGCGCTTTGGCCCGACACCCCACTTATGGGGGTGCCCCTCTGGGGCCCTCCTCCTCCTCCTCCTCCTCCTCCTCCTCCTCCTCCTCCTCCTCCTCATCCTCCCCCTCGTTCTCCTGGCCTGGGGGGAAGCCGTGCATGTCCTGGAGCAGAGATCACGTCAAAGCTTTAAGGGCATAGTGTGACCTCTTGGGGGCTCCTTCGGGGCCTCTTGGAGGCCTCCTGTGCGCCTCGTGGGCGCCTCTCTGATGGCCTCGTCGGGCTCCCGTGCCCCCCAAAATCCACCGTTTCAGGTTCCGGAATCACCTGGAACCGTTCCGGGGGTGATTCTGGAAGCTTGACACTTACCGTTTCAGGTTCCAGAATCACCCTGGAACCGTTCCGGGGTGAAAACCCTGGCCCCAGTTTGAGCTTCTCCCAGAAGGCTTCTATCAGCCCCTACTGGGCTCCTTACAGAAGCCCTTACTGGCCTCCTTACAGAAGCCCTTATTGGGCTCCTGGCAGAGCCCTTATTGGGCTCCTTACAGAAGCCCTTATTGGGCTCCTTACAGAAGCACTTATTGGGCTCCTTACAGAAGCCCTTATTGGGCTCCTTACAGAAGCCCTCGCTGGGCTCCTTACAAAAGCCCTCACTGGGCTCCTTACAGAAGCCCTCACTGGGCTCCTTGCAGAAGCCCTCACTGGGCTCCTTACAGAAGCCCTGATTGGGCTCATTACAGAAGCCCCCAAGAGAGCCGTTTTGCGTTGGGAGAGGGTTCCAGATTGATTTTCACCCTGGAACGGTTCCGGTGTGAAAATCCATCTGGGACCTCCCGACGCTGCGCGGGAGAGCCCAGCCGCGAAAAACACGCTCCCAAATAAGAGATTATTTACGCTTCGCGTATCCCCACCAGCCCATCTCACAGCAGCAACTCTTGCGGAGCATGCCGACAGTCGTGTATTTCAGGCGTGTGTCCGCTTGGCCCCGCATATCTCCCCTGTTCCTCCTTCCTCCCGCCTCCTTGTACATCCTCCTTGTGGGGGAGCGGGAGAAGGACGAGGCGGAGGAGGAGGGAGAGAAAGCGCTCCTCGTGGTTTGAGTCGTTCGGGCTTCTCGTCCTGGTGTGTGTCGTTCGGGCCCTTCTTCCTGGTGTGAGTCGTTCGGGCTCTTCGTGGTGTGAGTCGTTCGGGCTCTTCGTCCTGGTGTGAGTCGTTCGGGCTTCTCGTGGTGTGAGTTGTTCGGGCCCCTCATCCTGGTGTGAGTCGTTCGGGCCCCTCCTCCTGGTGTGACTCGTTCGGGCTCCTCGTGGTGTGAGTCGTTCGGGGCCCGCGTCGTGGTGTGAGTCGTTCGGGCTCCTCGTGGTGTGAGTCGTTCGGGCGCCTCGTCCTGGTGTGAGTCGTTCGGGCCCCACCTTGTGGTGTGAGTCGTTCGGGCTCTTCGTGGTGTGAGTCGTTCGGGCCCCTCGTCCTGGTGTGAGTCGTTCGGGCTCCTCGTGGGGCCTCTTGGGGGCCTCTTGGAGCGTCTTGGGGCCTCTTGGGGGCCTCTTAGGGGCCTCTTGGGGGCCTCTTGGGGGCCTCTTGGGGCCTCTTGGGGCCTCTTGGGGGCCTCTTGGGGGCCTCTTGGGGGCCTCTTGGGGCTCTTGGGGGCCTCTTGGGGGCCTCTTGGAAGCCTCTTGGGAGCCTCCTGGGGGCCTCTTGGGGCCATCTTGGGGCCTCTTGCGACCTCCTCAGAAGCGCAAGTGAGCGCTGCCCCCTGAGAATGACAAAATGAGCCCAAAACCTTCGTAAACTCAATGATTTTGCTATGAAGGAAGAGGAGCGCGGCCCCCTCAGGACGCCAAAATGGGGCCAAACCGTAGTACAATCAATGATTTTGGCTTCAAAGAAGAGCAGAGGGGCCAAACTCCCTCCCCCCGTCGGGGCCAGAATCCTCGTGAGGGTCGTCGTTTTTTGGCCCTCCCAGGAGTCGAAAAAGACCCCCCTGACTACGCTCGGCCCGCCCTCTCCAGGTCCAGGGGGAGGGGGTAGGGGGAGGGGTAAACCCCTCCCCGAAGGGGAAGAAGGGGGGTTGAGGACAGAGCGGGCTCTCTAAACCACTCATGCCCAAAGGGCTGGTGGGATTTCATTTGGAAAATTGCCATTTGGGGAGCTCGGGTACACCCCCCCCATCCCCGACAGAGCCGTTTTGCCATGGGAGAGGGTTCCAGATGGATTTTCACCCTGGAACGGTTCCGGGGTGAAAATCCATTTGGGACATCCCGGCGCTGCGCGGGAGAGCCCAGCCGCGAAAAACAAGCTCCCCAATAAGAGATTTCATTTGGAAAATTGTCATTTTTGGAGATCGGG